GACTAATGGCTTGAGTAAGAAGCTGACGGATCTGAATAGATTTGATCGAATCTATAGTTTCTCCGATCCAACCCATCTTTAAAACTTCGAATTTTTTTCTCCGATCCACGCCGATATAACTCAGATCGCAGTGAACGACGTAGCGAAGCAACGAAGAAGAAGGGTTCAAGCTTTAAGGCACGATTTCTACAAAGAACCGGTTTACAAACATTAGAACCGGTTTAAATCCTCGAGTGGCTACATTTTTAAGTGACGTGGTTTAAAATCTTTCAGTGGCTACATTTTGATGACGTGGCAAATATTTTACCCCTAGGTTCTACTTTATTTACGAGAATACCACTTGTTAAGGAAATATATCAAAAGCATCCAAGCCACAACAAGTTTAGTGTCTGTCTCTCACCGGAGAAATTGCGTTTTGAGATGGCAATCCTTATTCCGGCGGCGAGTTTCGGTCGATTAAACTTTCCGACTCGTGCGCAAGTTAGTAGTATGAGAGTATCTGCTTCTGCTAACTTACGCACTTCCCGACACGATTCAGTGGATTGGTTTAAAGAAACTTCAAGCTTTTTCGAACAAGACAAGAGACCGATCATGTTGTTCGATGGTAATAACGTTTATCTTTAATCTCTAATTCCATTTCAATTCGGACCCTTTTAGTAGATTCATATAACCATTGTCGAAATTAATCCAAAATTCGAACTTTTTTATAATAACTATATAAGTTCTAATAAAGTTGATGTTTTTATGAATCTTTGTTTCTTTTATGTGTGATAGGTGTTTGCAATCTATGTAATGGAGGTGTGAAATTTGTTAGAGACCATGACCAAAACAGGTTAATAGTTGATTTAGTCATCAATGTCGAATTAGAAAGTTCGATCTTTTGTCACAGTAAGAAACTATGAAATTTGTGTTGCAGGAGCATTAGGTTTGAAGCATTACAAAGCGAAGCAGGGAAGAAACTGTTGATGAGATCAGGAAGAGATCCTGATGATATATCGAGTGTCGTTCTTGTCGAAAAAGATAGGTAAGTACATTTGTGTCGAAAAACTTTACAAGATATTGAATGTTTCGGTTTAATTTGTGATATGTTGTTGTGGTTTTTTTCTTTCAGGTCTTACATAAAATCAGAAGCTGTTTTGAAGATTATGAAATACATTGACTTACCGTTTCCGCAGCTTGCGTTCTTATTCCAGTTTGCGCCTCTGTAAGTTCTCGCTTAAGGTTTTAATTAGCGGAAAGAAAGCGCCTCGAGTGAGTGATCTTATAAAGGATTTTTCTTTTTTGACATGTTTCAGGTTTGTGAGGGATTTTGTGTATGAAAATGTTGCAAACAATCGGTATACGGTGTTTGGTCGATCTGATTCATGTGAGATCTAAGAATACATTATTGATTTGTGAACTAGATATGAACAAAATGTGTCCTACAGATTTAATATATGCTTTTTTATACAGATGTATAGTTTACAACAACCTTTTGAAATACCAAATACATAATGTTTGTACTTTTTGAATCATGTACTCATCAAATGTATAACCTTTTCGATCATGTGAAAAAACTTCGGGATCGTGTGAAGTATGTCTTTTACAAAGAATGTGTCTGGCTACATGATGCTAATTGAAATCCCTGAGTGGCACACTCTCTATGGTACGTTCTCTGAGAAGCTTAGCATATCCCGCAATGAATCTGCAAAAATTTCAATCATTTTACTGGTAAGGGAAGAAAGTTTTTCACGACATTGCAGTTTTTGTTTGTGTGTTCATTGAGTCTTTTGGTGAACTTACCCCACAAGAAGGATGGTTAGAGATGTAAACTTGAAGATGTGTTGATAATATTTGTGTTTTGGTTTTTTGTGTTTCATGTCATAACCAGCAGGAATGTATTTGGGGCTCACATATCCGTACTGCGGACGGAGAAGAAGGACGAAACCGAGGAAAAAACCGGCTAAAAATCCTCCACAATGAGCAGAATTGTCAACACGAGGTAAGAATCCGACGCTTAGGTTCAACGCAATGATCAGGATTAATGTCATAAGTGCGGTACACTGCAGAAAAATATTAAGGTCAGCTTTCAATAATGTACCTTAAAGTCGAAAAAACGATAAAACTTTCACCTTATTATCATAGATTGTCCAGTTTGTGATCAGCTCTGAAAGCATTGCACCGAGTAACCCGAACAATGCGCCCGATGCTCCAACTGATACTCGTTCTCCGTGGGAATCTGTCAAGCAAGACATAAGGCTTCCTCCGATCCCCGAGAGCACATACAAAGCTCCGATTCTGACTGTAATTTCAATCAAAACTCTTGAATCAGATCAAGGCAAATTTAGAATCTTGACGACGGAAAACAGAAGGGGGTTTAAAAGGGTCTTACAGAATCCGAATTCTTGTTCAAGTCGCATTCCGATACAGAGGAGGCTGATCATGTTCGCCATCAAGTGAAGGAGACCACCGTGAAGCCATATGCAAGAAATGAGACGCCATCTCTCACCTTCCTCCACAAGTCTTCTTTCAAGAGCTCCAAGTCTTCTCAACCTGAATTCAACAAGAAAGGTTCATTCATATATTCCGAAACCCGAAAAACCAACGCGGAATCAAGAATTCGTTATCCTTACGTGGGAATAGAAGGACCAAGAAGCATATTCTCCTTAATCGGTTGAAATGAAAGCCGTCCAAGAACATCAAAAAATAGACACTCATCTGATCTCGCGGGACAATCGTTGACATACATTGTGGTAGCGAATGTGATGAAGTTAGCTGCTAAAATGAGAGGCACCAGCCAAACGAACCATGGCACAGGAACCGGTGGACGAAACT